CCCTGGGTGGGGAAGATCTCCTGGAGGAGGGCATGGCAACCCACTCCAGTATTCTTGCCTGGAGAATCCCATGGACAGAGGAGACTGGTGGGCTACAGTCCATAGTGTTGCAAAGAGCTGGACATGACTGAAGTGACTTAGCATGCATGCATAGGTATAGATATTATAGGAGTTGGCTCGTGTGCTTATAGAAGCTAAGAAGTCTTGTGATCTTCTGTCTGTGGGAACCAAGAAAGCCTCTGGAGTGAAAGTGAAAGTGAAGTCGCTCAGTCGTGTCCGACTCTTTGCTACCCCATGGACTGTAGCCTACCAGGCTTCTCCATCCATGGGATTTTCCAGGCAAGAATACTGGAGTGGGTTGCCATTTCCTTCTCGAGGAGATCTTCCCAACCCAGGGATTGAACCCGGGCCTCCCACATTGTAGGCAGATGCTTTACCATCTGAGCCACCAGGGAAGTCCAAAGAACTACCCCTTTTAGGTAATTTAGTCCAAATCCGAAGCTCTGAGAACTGGAAGGCCAATGATGTCTTAAGTCTTGGTCTGAGTCTGAAAGCCAAAGAACCAGCTATGCTGATGGTCCGTGGGCAGAAGATGAATATCCTAGGTCAAGCAGAGAGATCAAATGTGTGCCTTTTCTGCCTGTTCTAGTCTAGTCCTCAAGGAATTGAATGATGCCCAAATAAAATGGTGATTGTAATCTTCTTTACTCAGCATGCTGATTAAAATGCCAGTCTCTTCCAAAAATAGCTTCACAGACACACCAAAAACAATGCCTTACTAACTATCTGGGTATCCATTAGCCCAGTCAAGTGGACATAAAGTTAACCACCACAGGTATCTTTGGCAAAACATCATTTGGTATAATGTAGCAAAGCACTAAATTTTGGAAAGAAAAAATAAATGAAATCTCTTTTATTTTAAAGATTCTGCTACACTAACGTTAAGATTTTTATATGAGTGAAGTTGGAGAGCAGTAGAAGGTTACTATCTCTGGGGACTCCATATTTAGAGGTAATTATGGAAAATATAACCATAAGGCCATAGAATATGTTAAGTGCTATATATTTAAATTTAATATTTAGGACTGTTTATCTTCTGAATCACTTAAGGTAAAAGATGAAAAATGGTAAATCTTTTTTCTGTATACATGCTTTTTAGAGCAATTTAAGGTTTAAAGTTAAGTTGAATGTAAAGTACAAGGAGTTCCTATATACCAGGGTTCCCCAACCTTTTTGGCACTAGGGACAGGTTTTGTGGAAGAAACTTTTTCCACGGATTGGAGGGGTAGGGAATGGTTTCAGTATGATTCAAATACATTACCTTATCTGTGCATTTTATTTCTTTTATTATTATATCAGCTGCACCTCAGATCATCAGACACTAGATCCCAGAGGTTGGGATCTCTCCACCCTCTCCACCACCTCCCAGTTTCCCCTATTATTAACATATTGAATTAGTCTGGTGCATTTGTTACAACTGATGAACCAACACTGGTACACTATTATTAACTAAAGCTCATAGGTTTATGTTAGGGTTCACTTTTTGTGTCCTAGTTTTACAGAGTTCTGCAAATATTGATACATAATGTCATGTATCCACTAATACATTGCTGTCAAGTTGATTCAGTCCTTCAGAGTCTTTGGGACCCTAGGGACCACAGCCCACCAGGCTCCTCCAGGCAAGAATACTGGAGTGGGTTGCCAATTCTTCCTTCAGGGGATCTTCCCGATCCAGGAATCAAACCTGCATCTCTTAAGTCTCCTGCATTGGCAGGTGGGTTCTTTACCACTAGTGCCACCTGGGAACCCACCAATACAGATAGCCTCATACAAAATATGATGAGGCATAAGGGACATGGGTTTGATCCCTGGGTCGGGAAGATCCTCTGGAGAAGGGAAAAGCTACCCACTTCAGTATTCTGGCCTGGAGAATTCCGTGGACTGCAGAGTCCACGGGGCTGCAAAGAGTCGGACATGACTGAGCGACTTTCATTTTCGCCTGCCCCACCAGCTGTAGTGCAGTGGGTAATTGTATGGGCTCCATGGTCAGCTCTCACAGGTTCAAATCTCAGCCCTGCCCCTACTGGAACTTGTGTTGTGGATGGTAGTAGTTTAGAGCAGACACAGTGAGAGCAGAAGCCCCATACGTGGTAATAAACATAACCATAGGGGCTTCCCTGATAGTTCAGTTGTTAAAGAATTTGCCTGCAATGCAGGAGGCCCTGGTTCGATCCCTGGGTTGGGAAGATCTGCTGGAAGAGGGAACGGCTACTCACTCCAGTATTCAGGCTGGAGAATTCCATGGACTGTATATAGTCCATGCGGTCGCAGAGTCAGACACGACTGAGCTACTTTCACTTTCACTCATACAAGCAGTTTCTCTGCCCTAAAAATCCCTGTGCTTCAACTATTCATTTCTCCCTCAATTTGCCAGAAAATTGGCAACCACCAATGTTTCTACTATCTACATAATTTCCCTTTATCAAAAAGTTATATGATTGAAATTACACAGTATGTAGCCTTTTCAGTCCGGCTTCTTTCACTTACCTATATGTGTTTAAGATCTGCCATATCTTTTCATGGCCTGCTAACTCATTTCTCTTGATCTTTAAATTCTATTACATGGATGTTTATCCCAGTTTGTTAAACCAGTTTGTATATTCATTAACCTATTTAAAATGTCTCAGTTGCTTCTAAGTTTTGGCAAATGTGAATTAAGCTGCTATAAACATTTGTGCACAGGTTTTTGTTTTAAAGATTTATTTATTTATTGGATGTGCCAGGTCTTAGTTGCACAGGGATCCTTAGTTTCCTGACCAGGGATCAAACCCAGGCCCCCTGCATTGGGAGCACCGTCTTAAGCCACTGGACCCCAGGAAAGTCCCTTGTATGCTGGTTTTTATATGGACCTGTCTCAGCTTCTTTGGGTAAATACCTAACTGTGTGATTTCTTGATATCAAGGTAAGATTATATTTAGCTTTGTACAAGAAACTGCCAATCTGTCTTCCAAAGTGACTGTATTATTTTACTTTCCCATTAACAATTTCATTGTTATTTTAATTTGCATTTCTTTAATTAATTGCCAATATTCATTCATTCAACAAATAAGTATTCACTTATTATGTGGCAGTCAGGCAGGCACTAGGGATACAGCAGTAAACAAAACAGACAAAACTGGCTTTCCCCCTGGAACTGACATTCTGGTGACAACATACAAATTTCCTAAATAGCATGTTAGACTGTAAAAACTACTATGAAGAAAAATAGAAGTGTATGCTTGTGGGGTTAACTTTAACTGTAGTGGTCAGGGAAGGTCTCACTGAGAGGTGACTATGAGGAAGAGACCTACAGGAGGTAAAAGAGAATCATGTGATAACTGGAAAAGAAGAGCTCCAACAAGATGGGATGGCCCTGCGGCAGAACCCTTCCTCCACAAGTAGTGTTTAATGAACAGCAAAAGTCCAGTGTGACTTTTGGTCTAGTAGCCCAGATCTAGTAGATTTGGCCTAGTAGCCTAAATCTCTAGACCGCCTGTCTTACTAGTCTATTACGGTTCAGGAAATGGTTCCCTCTTGTTGCTGCTTCTCATAGCTAGAGTTACTCCGTTATAATCATTGATCTTCTAGCACTATATATTTGGTCAATCACTTCAAGCTGACTAGTCATCATAATTTTTATTGGTGGCTCTGTCACACATTTGCTAATACAAGGTGCAATAACCTTGTAAAATAGGCAGAATACAAATAATACAGCTAGTCACATTAATATGGTCTTAAGTAAGCACTTAAGCTAAGAGGTTCCTTTAGATGCAACCCAGTATCTCCCCAGGGCATCTTACCAGTCTGTTCTGTACCAAAAATTAACTCTGATGGAAATGATACACTTGCATTGTACATAAAAGTTCACCAGATGTCTGCACACCTTAACCTTAAGGGGACCCCTTACAGGACTGAGAAAGCAATGTTATCTTCCAAGGAGTCACATGGTTGTCACCAGAAGGAGAAAAACTGATCTTTAGGATTTGAGCAGGTATTTCTCTCACTGGGGAGGAGGTCTGGGTAATGCACAACACAGCTGCACAATGCACATTAGAGGGAAGGGAGGAGGCCGAAGAGCAGAGAAAACTTTTTCAGCTTAAATTGTCCTCTTGCCTTAAAATAGTTTTCTCTTATTTCATCAAGAGTATTGATAAAACCAGTAGAGATATGAGCTGAAACCTACGATTTTTAGCTACTTGGACTAAGGACGCACCCACCATCAGCTGTACCTGTGAAAGGTACAGCCCTTGACACAACTGAGCTTCCCTTGTGGCTCAGCTGGTAAAGAATCCGCCAGCAATGCGAGAGGCCTGGGTTCGACCCCCAGGTTGGGAAAATGCCCTGGACAACGGAAAGGCTACCCATTCCAGTATTCTAGCCTGGAGAATTGCATAGGGTCGCAAAGAGTCGGACTCAACTAAGTGGCTTTTACTTCGCTGCACTTGAGACAATTAGCCAGGAAAGAACTACCTGTTAGCCGTCTTCCCGAGTAGCGAATCCTCCCTTGAAGGGCTAAAATTTTTGATTCGAGGCGATAAGAAGAGACCGACTAGGAAACTCGGCATAGTTGTCCCAACAGGGCGGGGGAAGGCGGCGCCCCACATTCGCCTTCGAGCGACGAAACAGAGGGCCTACGGAGCATTAAAGAAAGGTCCGCGTCATTTTTGAGATGAACACAAAATGGACCACAAACCCTTCACAGAAGCCACTTCGAGTGACAGCCTCCCGCGCCAGTCCCCAGGGGCTTTGGAAGAGTTTTCAAAACGGCCGCGCAAGGGCCGGGAACCCACAGACGGCTTGGCTTGCCACCGATCAGACCCGCCCAAGGAACCTCCCCAAGAGAGGGCGGTGTCGCCGGAGAGATGACGTAAAAGGCGTCGCGTCGAGGGTGACGCGTGGCGTAGATGACGTAAGGCTGCGCCTGTCACCCCAGGGGCTGGTTGCGAGGAGGAGCGGGCGCCATGGCTGTTCTGCTGGAGACCACTTTGGGCGACGTCGTCATCGACCTGTACACCGAGGAGCGGCCGCGCGGTGAGGCCCCGGCCCTGCTCACCTTTCGGCGGGCCGCGCTCTTTTTCCCCCCCCGCTTTGCCTTTTCTGCCCAGTCCCCGGCGTGGACTGGCTGGAGCTTCTGGGCTGATGGTGCCCGCGACCGCGCAGTTTATCAGAGGGCCTTGGTTGAAAAGTTTGTTTCTGAGGAGCAACCCTTCTCCGCCTCTCGTGCTGGCCAGTCGGCTGGCGGGTCTTGTGGTTATTGAATCCCTGTGTGTGTGTGTAATGCAGGCTGCATATTCAGTGCCTATAGCTCTTGTGGCTTTACTGTTTTTTACTAGTCAGACGAACATAGCGTGTAATCAGTAAATCTTGATGAAAGCAAGGACGAAGGGCTTGGAGCAGTGAGTGCGGACACCCCTTCTAGGTAGAGGGAGGGCTGTCCGGAGGTGTGCGCTCAGCCTTAGCAAACACTCGTTGATCGTACTCTACGTGAGACTTTGTGCCAAGCCGTGGGATGGGCGTCTTGCCCTCGAAGGTCTAATTTTCCATTGGGGGAAATAGGCGCCGCAACCCATTTAATTTCTTAAGCGATGTAGTGGTAGAATGTGTAAGTTGCCATGGAAACCAGAGGAGGGAGTAATTCTTCCTGGCTGGGGGTGGGGAGAAGCAGAATGCTGAGCACTTGAACTCGCTCTTTTAAAAATGAGTGGGAGTGAGGGTGTTCTTGTTTGCTTAGAATTTTCTGGAAGTAGATCGGGGTGGCTTGACAGTGAAATGGCAGGCCGTGAATCTGGTCATATACGTTTTTAGGTTAGGTCTGGTCCTGAATAGCCTTGTGTGCCCTACTGAAAACCATAGTCTTTGAAGGGTTTGAAAGCAGGTTTGAGAGAGGCGTAACAAACTTGTTTTAGGACGATAATAGGCAGCAATATGGAGAATGTTTCAGAGTGGGGAGAAACTGTAACTAAACAGGAGAGTTTAGTTACAATCAGGGTTCTGCCCCCAAGGAATGCAGTTTGTCAAAGATGAAACAAGCTATACAATATGGTACCATGAGTGCCTGCTGAGGTGCTAAGCTTTATCCCACACTGAGTTATCACCCGCATCCCAGCAACTCTCAACGTACATCTGTTCCTTTCTTATACTGATGCCTGTACCCCACATTTCTCCCACTATTGTCCTTTTGGCAAACTTCCTGTTTGTTAATCAGTTCTCAGGTCAAGCATGATCTCTTCTGTGAAGCTTTCTGTGTCCCTAAGCAGAGTTAGATTGGTTTCTTTTGCTCTGCCTCTGGTCTTTTATAAATCACATAGTACATATTTTGTTATACATTTTCCTGTTGGCCTGGAATTATTTTCAAGTCTTGGTCTCCTCTCAAGAATGTAAACTTTAAGAGAGCAGGGACTATTCCTTAATTATCTCTATATCTTGAGCACCTAGTGCAGTGCCTGACGCTTTGAAGGTGCACACCGAAGTAATGGATAATATGTGTTGTATTCAGACTCTTTGTTCAGGTGATAGAAACTCAACTGAAACTGCCTTAAAGAAAATAGTGGATTGCCTTATGTTACTGGTGTAAGCTTTGGGCTTCCCTCAAAGCTCAGTTGGTAAAGAATCTGCATGCAGTGCTGGAGACCCTGGTTCGATTCCTGGGTCCAGAAGATCTGCTAGAGAAGGGATAGGCTACCCACTCCAGTATTCTTGGGCTTCCCTTGTGGCTCAGCTGGTAAAGAATCTGCCTGCAGTGTGGGAGACCTGGGTTCAATCCCTGGGTTGGGAAGATTCCCCTGGAGAAGGAAAAGGCTACCCACTCAGTATTCTGGGCTGGAGAATTCCATGGACTGTATAGTCCATGGTGTTGCAGAGTCGGACAGGAATGAGCGACTTTCACTTTCACTGGGGTAAGCTTTAAGGATGACAGGATCCAGGGGTTCACAGATTCTTATAGGGAATTGTATTTTTCATCTTTTGGTTTTGTTTTTCTTTGAGTTTGACACTCTCCATGTGGAGCAGCATTTGGCAAGGAATGGGCCTTTTTCCCTAGAATTATGAGGAACTGAAAGAGAGGTAGGATTATCCCACCTAATTAACACAGAATGTTTTTTTGTGTGTTTTTGCAGTGTTTCTGCAATGATAGCTTGGAACACTTAAAACATAAATCCACGCTGTTTGTATATATTTGTAATGTGTAAGTAGTTGTGATTGGATATCTACTTATATGTATAACTACTTATCAATCTATAGTAAATATATCCAGACTTATTTTTCTTTTTTCCTCACTCCCTCTCTCCCTTTTCCTTTTTTTTTTTGAATTTGAACTTTATTTTTATTTTTTATTTATTCATTTTTTTTATTAGTTGGAGGCTAATTACTTTACAATATTGTAGTGGATTTTGTCATACATTGACATGAATTCCCTTTTCCTTTTTATAAAAGCTTTTTATTATAGAAAACTTTAAACATATACAAAAGTAGAATCATGTGAATGAACTCTCCCATGTTGATGATCAGCTTCATGTAACAGTTGTTAATATATGTTTCATTTATTTTGCCACGTCCACTGAATTTTTTGTTTTTGGTTGTGCCGCGTAGCCTGTGGGATCTTAGTTCTCGGACCAAGAATTGAATCCCAGGTCGTGGAAGTGAAAGTGCTGAGTCCTAACCACTGCACTGACAGGGAGTTTCTTTACATGACATTAAAGGGCTTCACTGGTAGCTCAGATGGTAAAGAATCCACCTGCAATGCTGGAGACCTGGGTTCGATCCCTGGGTTGGGAAGATCCCCTGGAAAAGGAAATGGCAACCCACTCCAGTATTCTTGCCTGAAGAATTCCATGGACAGAGGAACCTGGCAGGCTACAGTCCACGGGGTGGCAAAGAGTCGGACATGACTGAGTGACTAACACATGGCATTTATTTAATCTGTAATTAATTAAAAGATGCTTGCTCCTTGGAAGAAAAGCTATGACAAACCTAGGCAGCATATTAAAAAGCAAAAGTCTTTTTAACTCTTTACTTTGCCAACAAAGGTCTGTATAGTCAAAGCTATGATTTTTCCAGTAGTCATGTATGGATGTGAGAGTCGGACCATAAAGAAGGTTGAGCCATGAAAAATTGATCCAACCACTCCATCCTAAAGGAAGTCAACCCTGTATACTCATTAGAAAAACTGATGCTGAAGCTGAAGCTCCAATACTTTGGCCAGCTGATGTAAAGAGCCGACCCTGATGCTGGGAAAGATTGAAGGCAGGAGGAGAAGGGAACGACAGAGGATGAGATGGTTGAATGGCATCACTGACTCAATGGACATGAGTTTGAGCAAGAAATGAGTTTGAGCAAGTTCTGGGAGATGGTGAAGGACAGGAAAACCTGGCGTACTGTAGTCCATGGGGTCGCAAAGAGTCGGACACGACTAAGCAACTGAACAACAACAAAAGTTATTTTTTAAAAAAGATAACAACCATAAGTCATGGTCACGTCTAGAGAAATAAGCAATAATTCCTCTTTGTTGTTTAGTTGCTCAGTCCTGTCCAACTCTTTTGCGACCCAATGGGCTGTAAGCCTGCCAGGCTCCTCTGTCCATGGGATTTACCAGGCAAGAATACTGGAGTGGGTTGCCATTTCCTTTTCCAGGGGATCTTCCCAATCCAGATACTGAACCCGTGTCTCCTACATTTGCAGACAGATTCTTTACCACTGTGCCACCAGGGAGCCCCAATAATTCTTTAGTATCATTCATGTTTATCTGTTGTCTCATAAACATTTAAAAGAATATTTCATCATTTGAAATGGGATCCAAACAAAGACCATGTATTGTATTGGTTGCTATATCTCTTAAATGGGGCTTCCCAGGTGGCATAGTGGTAAAGAATCTGCCCTCAATGCATGAGACTCAAGAGACACAGGTTCAATTCCTGGGTCAGGAAGGTCCCCTGGAGGAGGGCAGGCTGTTTCACAATGTCTTCCCACCTTGAAATGGCCCCTCTCTACTCTCTGCCAGTCCAGTTCTTTTAGTGTTTATATTCAGCCTCCAGGAAGTCTTCTCTTTTCCCCAGGCAGAAACAATCTCTTTTTTTCAACTCTTCTGGCATATTTATTAACAAAACCGTACTATTTAAGTGCACCAATGGTATTATCAGGTATGCTCAGTATTATAACTGTTCAGATGTAAGGACCCTTATTTAGTGTAAGCTCCTTGAGGGGTAGGGATCCCTCATATATCTTTCTGTTTGGTTTCTAGCTTAGTGCCTTGAGAACTTGCTAGAATGTTACTCTACACCTAGACTATGAACTTGTTAACAGCAGAGATTTACTGGCATTTGACCTTACAGAGGGCCAACTGCCTAGAAGATACTTCGTGTTTATTGGGTAAATGAGTGAACTTATTTTAAAAGGTGGTACATGATTAGTGTATGGATGTTTGTGAAGGGAATGACTACCGCCTCCAGTATTCTTCGGGCTTCTCTCATGGCTCTGACGGTAAAGAATATGCCTGCAATACAGGAGACCTGGATTCAGTCCTGGGCTGGGAAGATCCCCTGGAGGAGGGGAGCAGTTCCCTCCTCCAGAGGTACATGGTGAGTGTATGGATTTTAGTGAAGGGGTATTTGATCATTGTTAAAAAAAATTGGATCCCCGATACTTTGTTTTATCTAATGTACATAAGCTGTACTCATTTTCAGATACTCTACTAGATCCTTTCCCATTACAGTGTTCTCTTTAGTTTTTCTTGTTTCTCTTAACAAAATCAATTCATCAATAGATGTTTGCTGACTGAGGGAGCTCTAACTGGTGCTCTGTGACAACCTAGAGGGGTGGGTTGGGCTGGGAGGTGGGAGGGAGTTTCAAGAGGGAGGGGATATATGTACACCTATGGCTGATTCATGCTGATATATGGCAGAAACCAACATAATATTGTAAAGCAATTATCCTTCAATTAAAAATAAATTACAAATAGAAAAAAAAAGATGATTGCTTATCCCAGATAAGTTTTAGTTTCCTGTATAGCTCAGATGCCCAAAAAACCCAAAGAAAAAGAGAATAAAAGATAACTTAAAATATATTGCATTTTTCTAGGCTTGCTGTGGTGGTTTAGTTGCTAAGTCGTGTCTGACTCGTGACGTCATGGACTGTAGTCTGCTAGGCTTCTTTGTCCATGGATTCTCCAGGCGAGAATACTGGAATGGGTTGCCATTTCCTTTGCAAGGGGATCTTCTTGACCCAGGAGTCGAACCCCGATCTTCTGCATTGCAGGCTGATTCTTTACCAACTAAGCTACGAGGGAAGCTTACTTATTTTTTAAAATGACTTTGGACGTTTGACCATTTGGGGAGGTTTTTATATGGTAGCTTAAAACTTAAATTATACTGACTGTGCCTTTACTTGATTGAAAATATATTTGTGAACTGCTGTGGTAAATTTAGTATTTACTTTTTTTCAGCTTGCTTGAATTTCCTGAAGTTGTGCAAAATAAAATATTACAATTATTGCCTTATTCACAATGTCCAGGTGAGTTGGTAGATATTAGTCATGTTCTTTGTTATTGGAACCGTCTAACAAACTCTGAATTAACGAAGTCCCCTGTATATTACAGAGGGATTTTATCATACAGACTGGTGATCCTACAGGGACTGGACGTGGAGGAGAATCAGTTTTTGGGTAAGTTTCTTTATTTTCAAATGAATAAAAATAGAAATTCCTCTTAAAAATGTTAAGTAGTGTATCTCAATCTGCATTTTTAAATACAGTTCAAATACAGATTTTTCCCAAGTTCCATAAATGTGTATAGCAAAAAAGGGAATATTCTGAATAATGGTGCCATTTCTATAAAGAAATGGTAACCTTATATGCTAACTCTAGTCCCCTTTATTTATAATCCTAGTATGTCTGCATTTCATGTTGAGTGTACTTATATTTTATAACCTTATTATATATATTTTTAGTCAACTGTATGGTGATCAAGCAAGCTTTTTCGAGGCTGAAAAAGTGCCAAGAATTAAGCACAAGAAGAAAGGCACTGTGTCCATGGTGAACAATGGCAGTGATCAGCATGGATCTCAGGTTAGGAACTGCGTGAGGAGATGAGTTTTGTTGGAGGGCACCATGAAATTATCTTTTTGAACTATCTAGTAAGGAGAGAATTTCAACCAAAGATATTTGTTAGAATTTAAAAATGACACTTGTTTTTTCCTATGTTTAAAAAAATCCTTATTATTTTGTTCTTTTGAATGTAAGGCATATCCTTTGGGAGGAATTTAGAAAATACAGGAAATTTGTAAAAAAAAAAAAAACCGGAAAGTACAAAGAAGAAAATAGCATTACCTATAATCCCACAATTCATAGATCATCACTGTTCAGAGATAGAAAGGCCTGTCCTTGCAGTATTTATTACTTATTTCAAAACAGGTCATGTTGAGCACGTTTCACTCACTGTCACAATGTTCCCATTGGAGTAGATGCTTTTTTTCCACAGAGTTTACTTGTGAAAAAACTTGAGATTTGGTTTGTTCAAGTATTTTTTAAACAATCAAGCATCTGTGTATTTATTAATATTTTATATTTAAACTTTGTGCCTTTCACTTAGTACTAGTACCAAGTGGGTAAGAAATACTAGTAGCAAGTACTAAATGCAGTTAATGTAGAGTCTTTTGTAACTAATACCAGTTTGAATTATATATATATATATAGGTATATATTTGTATTTATTAAATGTCTTTTTATATAGTTTCTTATTACAACAGGAGAGAATCTGGATTACCTCGATGGCGTTCATACAGTGTTTGGTGAGGTGACAGAAGGCATGGACATAATTAAGAAAATTAATGAGACCTTTGTTGATAAGGACTTTGTACCATATCAAGATATCAGGTATGCTTACTACTTATTATTGGAATGGACTACGGCGTTTTCATATGTGATGTTTGCCAAATCATAGGGATGGCATACATAGGACTGGTTTTTGGATAATCCTAAAATGTGAGTTAATTGGAGACAATAAGAATCTTTTGGAGAAGGCAATGGCACCCCACTCCAGTACTCTTGCCTGGAAAATCCCATGGACAGAGGAGCCTGGTAGGCTGGGGTCCATGAGGTCGCTAAGTGTCAGACACGACTGAGTGACTTTACTTTCACTTTTCACTTTCATGCATTGGAGAAGGAAATGGCAGCCCACTCCAATGTTCTTGCCTGGAGAATCCCAGGGACGGGGGAGCCTGGTGGGCTGCCATCTATGGGGTCGCACAGAGACGGACACGACTGAAGTGACTTAGCAGTAAGAATCTTTATAACAGAGAAGACCATTACTGTACTAATTATAATTGCTTACGTTGGGAGGAATTACTAATTTTTTAGTTTTTTTAAAAAAAATTCAGATTATTGAAAGAGATGACAAGATTACTAATTCATATTACATCTTAGCATAATGCAGAGAATTAATATATAATATCAAGCACTCAAAATATCAAAATATATCCTAGTAATACTCCTGTGCAATAAAATTTAAGAGCTTATGGATTTTTTTTTTTTTTTGGCATTAGGGATACTTAGTATATTTGTTATAATTTTTATAAAAAATGAAACATGGATTCTGAAATAATATGAATGTAACATTTGACTTGGATTTATTTTATAAGGATAAATCATACGGTGATTTTAGATGATCCATTTGATGATCCTCCTGATTTATTAATTCCTGATCGATCACCAGAACCTACCAGAGAACAACTAGATGTGAGTCAAGTCTTCTTATGATTGAATGTACATACATATTAATGTTTTGCATAGATTTTGCTTTTTACCTTTTTAAAACTTATTTCTCCAGAATGACTATCTTGCTTGATCAGTAATACTAAGCAAAGTTTGCAATTCTTTTTCTCTCCCATGGAGACACTCATTTTTCTACTTGTCTTTTCCCTAATATTCTTTCTTCAGTTTCTGTTCTACCAGAACAGTCTTAGCTCTGAATACAAATACCTTGATAAAATGTTTCTCTTACCTCTTAACTCTAGATAGAGTGTAGCTTTAAGACTAAATTACGTTGTCAGCTTGTGAGGGAACTTTTCAACTGGGGACTCTTTTGAGCCAGGCTGGAATGCAGAAATTTCTGTGACTTAGTGGAGACTTCCCCTCAGATCTTTTAAGGTATAAATTTCTGCTTAATGAGACTTCCTCAAAGCTGAGTTTATCTCTATAGTTAGGATTTAATCCTTAAAATCTAAGATAATTTATCTTCTGTGTTCAGCACTTACTTGGATACCACATAGTTCTTATATAAATGTTTATTTTGATTTAAAAATAAATTAGAAGCTAATGAATTAGCTTAAATCAGTTTTCAGAGGTTTATAAGTTTGTTTCACATTTGTGAAACAAATGTTTTAACAAATTTGATGAAACTAAGAATAAAGCATAATGTCTCATGTTTCTTAGATTTTTCTTTTATATATATATGTGTGTATATATATATGAGTAACTTCTGCCTTACAGAGTGGTCGAATTGGAGCAGATGAAGAAATTGATGATTTCAAAGGGAGATCAGCTGAAGAAGTAGAAGAAATAAAGGCTGAAAAAGAGGCCAAAACTCAAGCTATTCTACTAGAAATGGTAAAGTAATTAATTTGTTCAAATAGTTGTTCAGCAGTGTGTTCAATACATACTCATTGTGAGTTTATTCCTGACTTATTGATAGTATTAAAATATTAAAAATTTAGCTGAGTTCTTTTCTGGGTTAAATTTGATATGACATAATAATACATATGAACGTAAGCAGTTTGGTTCTACTGTCAGTTTAGTGTCAAATGCATTTTAAGCAAATGGGAAATGGGTATCTAGTTTATAAATATTAATTGGATTTCAGTTGCTTATACTTATCTCAGTTTTTTTTTTAATTTTTTTAATTTTTTAATTTTTTTTCCATTTATTTTTATTAGTTGGAGGCTAATTACTTTACAACATTGCAGTGGTTTTTGTCATACATTGAAATGAATTAACCATGGATTTACATGTATTCCCCATCCCAGTCCCCCCTCCCACCTCCCTCTCCACCCCATCCCTCTGGGTCTTCCCAGTGCACCAGGCCCGAGCACTTGTTATCTCAGTTTTTAAAGAGTTTCTTGGACTGAATTTTAAGTATAATAGAGAATAATGTTTTGTATATCTCTAGTATTGAGATTAAATAATAGAATAATAATTATAGGATAAAATAAACCTGGGCAGAAATTGAACCTCTAAAATGTACTCCTTTTCTCTTTTACTAGCAATATGAAATTATTTGGGGAACAGTTATTCAGTACATGGTTATTTCACCTACTAGGCTTTTTTTTCCCATTTCTTATTTTTGTGGAATAGGTATACCTTTCATGTAGTAGATCATCAATTTTGGAATGGATAGCTAATAATTAAGTTTCTATTGCTAACGTCAGTTTATATAATAGAGCTTTCAGATTCATTATCTGTTTTAAAATTTGTATTAGCATCACTAGTCTGAAGGAACAAATATTAAAGAGTATAGTTCAAGAAAACTTTACTGAATTAAAAAAGTTAAAAAAGCACAGTTTAATGAACATACTGTGTTACCTGAGAATTCTGACCCAGAAGAGTCAACACCAAGACAAACTCTAAGGAAATTATGGACTTAAATCTTTTGAACACCTGGCAGCAAGAGTGAGTGACTTAAAAGGGAATGAACATTAGATTATCATTAGAGTGTTCAACAACAAATAATAGAAAGTTTATGCCAGAATTAAAGGGTTTAACATATTCTGTAAACTTTTTTTATTTTCAGAGAATTTCAAATTTACAGAAAAAAAAAATAATGCAGAGAACTTCTATATAATTTTTACCCAGGTTCATCCTTTTTTTCTTTTTTTTGGCCACACCACACGGCAAGTGAAACTATGAGCCATGCCATGTAGGGCGAGCCAAAATGGACAGGTCATGGTGGAGAGTTCTGACAAAACATGATCCAATGGAGAAGGGAATGGCAAACCACTTAAGTATTCTTGCCTTGAGAATCCCATGAACAGTATGAAAAGGAAAAAAGATATGACACTGAAAGATGAACTCCTCAGGTCAGTAGGTACCCAGTATGCTTCTGGAGAAGAGTGGAAAAATAGCTCCAGAAAGAATGAAGAGGCTGAGCCAAAGCAAAAACAGTGCCCAGTGGTGCATGTGACTGGTGATAGGAAGTCAAGTCAGATGCTGTAAAGAACAATATTGCTTAGGAACCTGGAATATTAGGTCTATGAATCAATGTAAATTTAAAGTGGTCAAACAGGATGGCAAGAATGAACATTGATATTTTAGGAATCAGTGAACTGAAATGGACGGGAATGGGTGAATTTAATTCAGGTGACTATTGTATCTACTACTGTGGGCAAGAATCCCTTAGAAGAAATAGAGTAGCCATCATATTCAACGAAAGAGTCCGAAATGCAGTACTTGGACGCAATCTCAAAAACAACAGAATGATCTCTTGTTCATTTCCAAGGCAAACCATTATCATAGTAATCAAAGTCTATGCCCCAACCATTAATGCCGAGGAAGCTGAAGTTGAACGGTTCTATGAAGACCTATAAGACTTTCTACAACTAACATCAAAAAAAGATGTCCTTTTCATCATAGGGGACTGGAATGCAAAAGTAGGAACTCAAGAGATACCCAAAGTAACAGGCAAGTTTGACCTTGGAGTAAAACATGAAGCAGATCAAAGGCTAACAGAGTTTTGCCAAGAGAATGCACTGGTCAGAGCAAACACCCTCTTCCAACAACACAGGAGACAACTCTGCACATGGACATCACTAGATGGTCAATACTGAAATCAGTTTGTTTCTTTGCAGCCAAAGATGGAGAAACTCTATACAGTCAGCGGAAACAAGACTGGGAACTGACTGTGGCTCAGATCATAAACTCCTTATTGTGAAATTCACACTTAAATTGTCTGAGGAGGCCTTATAAATAACTGAGAAAAGAGAAGTGAAAGGCAAGGTGAAAAGGAAAGATATATCTATTTGAAGGCAGAGTTCCAAAGAATAGCAAGGAGAAATAAGAAAGCCTTCCTCAGTGATCCATGCAAAGAGATAGAGGAAAACAATAGAATGGGAAAGACTAGAGATCTCTTCAAGAAAATTAGAGATAACAAGGGAACATTTCTTGCAAAGATGGGCACAAGAAAGGCCAGAAATAGCATGGACCTGACGGAAGCAGAAGATATTAAGAAGAGGTGACAAGAATACGCAGAAGAACTATACAAAAAAGATCTTCATGACCCATATAACCACGATGGTGTGATCACTCACCTAGAGCCAGACATCCTGGAATGCAAAGTCGAGTGGGCCTTAGGAAGCATCACTGCGAACAAAGCTAATGGAGGTGCTAGAATTCCATCTGAGCTATTTCCAATCCTAAAAGATGATGCTGTGAATGTGCTGCACTCAATATGCCAGCAAATTTGGAAAACTCAGCATTGGCCCCTGGACTGGAAAAGGTCAGTTTTCATTCCAGTCCCAAAGAAAGGCAATGCCAAGAATGTTCAAACTACCACACAATTGCATTCATCTCAATGCTAGCAGAGTAATGCTCAAAATTCTCCAAGTGAGGCTTCAACAGCATGTGAACTGAGAACTTCCAGATGGTCACACTGGATTTAGAAAAGGCAGATGAACCAGAGATCAAATTGCCAACATCTGTTGGATCATCAAAAAAGCAAGAGAGTTCCAGAAAAACATCTGCTTCATGGACTATGCTAAAGCCTTTGACTATGTGGATCACAACAAACTGGAAAATTCTTCAAGAGATGGGAATACAAGACCACCTGACCTGCCTCCTGAGAAGTCTATATGAAGGTCAGGAAGCAACAGTTAGAACTGGATATGGAACAACGGACTGGTTCCAAATTGGGAAAGGAGTTCGTCAAGACTGTATATTGTCATCTTGCTTATTTAACTTATATTTAGAGTATGTCATATGAAATGCCGGAATAGATGAAGCACAACCTGCAATCAAGGTTGCTGGGAGAAATATCAATAACCTCAGATATGCAGATGACACCACTCTTATGGGAGAAAGCGAAGAAGAACTGAAGAGCCTTTTGATAAAAGTGAAAGAGGAGAGTGAAAAAGCTGGCTTAAAACTCAACATTCAAAAAATTAAGATTATGGCATCCGGTCCCATCACTTCATGGCAAATAGATGGAGAAACAATGGAAACAGTGAGAGACTTAATTTTCTTGGGCTCCAAAATCACTGCAGTTGGTGACTGTAGCAATGAAATTAAAAGATGCTTGCTCCTTGGAAGAAAATCTATGACAAACCTAGATAGCATATTAAAAAAGCAGAGACATTAATTTGCCAACAGAGGTCCATCTAGTCAAAGCTATGGTTTTTTCATTAGTCATGTATGGATGTGAGAGCTGGACCATGAAGAAGGCTGAGCGCTGAAGAATTGATGCTTTTGAACTATGGTGTTGGAGAAGACTCTTGAGAATCCCTTGGGCTGCAAGGAGATCAAACCAGTCAATCCTAAAGGAAATCAGTTCTGAATTGGAAGGATTGATGTTGAAGCTGCAATAGTTTGGCCACCTGATGTAAAGAACTGACTCATTGGAAAAGACCCTGATGCTGGGAAAGATTGAAGGCACGAGGAGAAGGGGATGACAGAGGATGAGTTGGTTGGCTGGCATCACTAGCTCAATGGACTTGAGTTTGAGCAAGCTCCAGGAGTTGGTGAAGGACAGGGAAGCCTGGCGTGCTGTAGTCCATGGGGTTGTTAAGAGTCAGACATGACTGAGTGACTGAACTGAACTGAACATGGCAAGTATTTTCCCTGACCAGGGTCAAACGTTTACCCACTGTGCTGGGAGCACAGTGTCTTAGCTACTGGACCATAAGGGAAGTCCCTCCCCCCGACCTTTTTTAAAATGTGTTTATCCAAGAGGAGACACTTCACATGATAATGTTGCCTGAACTCATCTCTGAGAATTTTTTAATATATGTATGAAGGAATGTTGTTTCCCCATCTAAAGGCTCATGGTAAATATATTTTTCTCACAGTGAAAACAACACCATCATTAAATCATGGTTTTATCTTACTGTCACCCTCTCGAGTTCTTCAGCAGAATGCAGTTTGCTTGGTTCATTGTGGTAGTTGACTATGAAGTTGACTTTGGTTTGCCTGAAGTAGAAGATGATAATGTGAGGTCAAAAAGCTCAAAACTGTATCCAGGAATTGGTGTTCCATACTGCACAATACTGTGGAAGAGAATTGGGCATTACTTACTTAAAAGGCTAGATTCAATGTAATAGTATTTCAAAAGTTTAAAAACAAGCAAAACTAAACACTATGTTAGGGATATATACCTGTATAAATCTGTAAGGGAATGGCCAGGAATGAAAATTGAAGGCTCATTTGTGGTGAGAGAGAAAGAAGGATAATGAAATCAGGGAATATTTTACTGGTAGTTCTTAGGCTGGTTGGCACCATGGGGTCTTTTTATTTTCATGCTACTTAATTTAGATATACTTTTTGTAAATTCTTTAAAAAATAGATCAAGTACTTGAAAAAAAAGTAGAGATAAAACTGGGAGTCTAAAGCCAGTAGACTTGGTAAATGTTGACTTTGTGTGAATACCATGCCTGTTACTCTTACTGCCAGGAAGAGTGGAGTTTTGAATTTTGAAATCTGCTTAGATCTCTTTCCCAGAGCCCACAGTTAATAATGTAAATTTAGATATTTTGGGGAATCAGCAATGGGAGCTAACTTCATGGTATTTATGATGGAAATTAAATAAAAGTTAATTTATATTCTTATTTATCATTTAGGTGGGAGACCTACCTGATGCAGATATTAAACCTCCAGAAAATGTGCTGTTTGTTTGTAAATTGAATCCAGTGACCACAGATGAAGATCTGGAGATAATATTCTCAAGATTTGGGCCAATAAGAAGGTAGTCTCTAGAATTAGTGAAAGATTTAGAGAAACTAGGTATTGGTGGTTTTCTAATGACATTTTTGATGAGTCTCTGAACTATAGATGAAATTTATATTAGTGAGTTTTACAGGTGAATATGTTGAACAGTTGGGAAGAAAAACACGTATGTATGCGTATGTGTAGATGTGTATGTGTGTGTGTTATAAATTGAGTGATTTTCTTACAACACATACATTTCAACTGTAAAACAGGAAGTGAATGAAACCGTTTAAGTGTAGTTCTATAGTATTTTCAAAAACCTTGTTTAATATTTTAAATGTCTTGTCTCATTTAAATTCTCCCTAGAATTTCCAGCAACCTCTTCCAAAATTAATTTTAATCTAAATTTTCTAAAATTTTTCTTTTGGTTAATTTTGCCTGCGTTATTAATGCAAAAGTTTTGAAGCTAGTATTTCTTTGAGAAAAGGAAGTATTTTATAATTGATTAAAAGTATTATGTTTAGAATTTCCTTTTATTTCATGTTTTTTCTTCTGTGAAGCCATTCTTTATTATTCCTACTGAAAGAAAAATTTTTCTTTAAAAGACTACCTGACTTTATTCTTCCACTCACTGATAGTATATCATCTTTATAAAAAAAATTCTTTTTTTTTTAATTTTTTTTTTCATTTATTTTTATTAGTTGGAGCATCTTTATAAAAAAAATTCTTACACTGTTACATCTTATTTTTAAATTGGACGTTGTATGCTCATTTGTTCTCCCTGCCTGCTGCTTTGGTTGTATCATAACTTTGGTTAAGTCTTTGTTCAATATTTACATTTTAATGTGTACTTAAATATTGCAACAGCTGAACCATGTTCTTTAATGTGATTAATTTTCCTTTCACAATTTTTTTTTCCTCTCACAATGTTTTATATTCCTGTTTCATATCATGTTTTTAAAACGAGGCTTAAGATAGATGAGCAAAAAGGGTTAAACCAAGTACGTCAAATTCCACCTTACTGGCTATTTCACTTGGTTATTAAGATGGATTGGTTCTATGTAATAGCTGTACTTACGGGATTAAATTTGAGCCTTGTTTATATTAAAATTAAAAAAAAACCCAATCATAAGTTTACTAATAAGCATGCATATATATATGAATATGTGTGCATTATTCTGTAGTGACATTAGATAATCTATAATTCATTTGTATTTGACTAAAAATAAATTATGATTTAAAAGAATTTTTAGCAGTAATTTCCCTTTGCTAAAGAAAAATTAAATGTTTTTATTTTGTTCTCCAGTGTTTTAGGAATTTAGGATTATAGGCCTGTATAGGGCATTTATAGTAGAATCTAGAAAACTCAGTTACTAGACAGGTCAGTTATTTTAAAAAAATAATTATTATTGAAGATATTTGGAGGAATATAACTCTTGTGAATTTAACTTTGCCTTTTAATAATTGGCTTATTTTGTTTTTTACTTTTGAGAAGGAACAGTGAATGCTCTTTCTTTCTTTCTTTTTCCACGCTTACTTTCAAGTTGTGAAGTTATCCGGGATTGGAAGACTGGAGAATCACTGTGTTATGCTTTTATTGAATTTGAAAAAGTAAGTTATAGTATAGCTATCTTAAATTTGTATTTTTTTTTGTTCTGTGGTGTTAAAGTGCGAAAATGTAGAGAACTTTTTCTAGTCTGGAAGATTAGGAAATTAGTTTGGCATTTCTTTAGCACCTAAGAAAAATAACTTTAATTTTATTCAAATAGAGAATAAGTTTAGTATCTGTTAATGTTAGTATATGTACTTTAACTTACATTGGGTTCAAGACCAACCTGTGTAAATGTATCTAAAACTTTTTTAAAGTTTTAGGTAAAGTCCTTCACATTCTATAAGTAAGTTTTCAGTGCTATTTAGGTAGATATAACAATTGAGTAGTAGAAAGAAAACCAGTTTGAGTGTTATTATGATCTAGATACTAATTTTAACTGTCACTGACCAAGTATTCTTTGATATTTGGCAGTTTATTTAGAATTCTTTTTTCTAGGCATTATTTTTCTTATAAATAAAATTTGAGGTTTGGATTAGATGGTACTTTCTAGATCTATAATAGGAATGATAGCTTATATTACTCAAGTAATTTTCTTTAAGCAAGTGTTATGCTCACATTTAGGTCTCATAACTGAGATAGGTACTATCCTCCTTTTCTTTTCTTTTTTTTTTTTTTATGTTGGTCTTGTTTATCTCACAAGACCTACAAAAATTATGGGAGAAGTGCCCTATAGCCCTCCACAGGAGCGGGGGGCGGGGGAGAATAACCCTAACTCTCTATCCTCCTTTTCTAAACAAGTAAACTGGGACACACAGTGGTAGCATGACTCGTTTAAAATCGTGCACCTAGTTAATGTCATAGCCTTCTGTCCTGCTGTTTTATTTTCAAAGAAATAGTTAATAACTCAGTTAACACTCTTTGTTACAAGTATTAACTACCACCCATATTTGTAAAATTGTTCAGATTCAAAGCATTGTAAATACTCATATATTTAGTGTAATTCTTTTAAAAAATTATCAAATTTAAATGTGACTTATACAGTGGCCAGAAATATTTGTATTCTAGTTCTTCTCAGCACTTTTCTTCATCTGATAAATAAATACAAAAGCTGTTACTTACCCTTAGGATTTGAACTTAGATATGTCTGGTGCTATTCCTACTACTTTTGGCCATTTAGCTAGGCTGTGTTATTTCTTTTTGTAACTTTGGACAGATGTATGTCCAATAGTAGCTCATTCTGAATTATAATTGTTCCAAAGTATTTGTCATATACCTTCTGTGTTTCAGGCAATAGGCACTGCAATAGGCCCTAGGGGTTCAAAATGTATACTGGAGGGTTGAGGAACACAGATACATAACAGATTATACCTAGACACTGTGTCAAGTGTACCAGAAATGATATTTACAAGGTACATCACTGTCAGCAGAAAGGAGATCTCGCCTACCTTTAGTTTGCTATGAATGTTTTTCTCATAGGGTTGTTATCAGAGTTAATTGAGGTAATAGATACAAAGCATTTGGTGCATAAGTATTCAAATTTTAGTTTTAGTAACAAGGAACTTTTTATATTTTCAGTATTTATTCTAGCTGCAGAAATCTTTTCCATAAAGATTTATGCTTGAGTTTTTATGATTACTCTCAGGAAGAAGATTGTGAGAAAGCATTCTTCAAAATGGACAATGTGCTTATAGATGACAGAAGAATACATGTGGACTTTAGCCAGTCTGTTGCAAAGGTTAAATGGAAAGGAAAAGGTATGTTGTTCATCTTCATTTGTTTCTGTTCTGCTTTGCATTCTTGTGTGCGTGTGTATCTCCTTTGACAGTGCTATTAGTTAGAAATGTTCAGAGATGTAACTCCTGCTGTTTGATTTTATGTAGCTGCTTTCTAGCATCTAAGGTGGGTAGGGTGTGTGTGGGGGGGTGTGTGTGGGTGTGTGTGTGGGTGTGGGGATGTGTATTTTAAACTAATGATGAATGTATTTTCTACATTTGACTGTATTATAAATTACTTATAATTACCCATTGCAGACATGACATGTTTCCAAAGTAATTATTATGACTTTGGTGGTTTGGCTCTTCTAGATGCAAAACTTTCTTTTGGTCACACCGTGTGGTGTGCAGGATCTCAGTTCCCTGACCAGGGATCAATCCTGTGCCCTCTGCAGTGGAAGCAGAGTCTTAGTCACTGTACTGCCAGGGAAGTCCATGATGCAAACGCTTAATTCTTCCTTCTAAAGTTTGTTTGTTTTAGTTGTTATATGTATATAGCTCAGATGGTAAAGAATCTGCCTGCAATGCAGGAAACCTGGGTTTGATCCGTGGGTTGGGAAGATCCCCTGGAGAAAGAAATGGCAATCCACTCAGGTATTCGTACCTGGAGAATCCCATGGACAGAGGAGCCTGGTGGGCTCCTCCATGGGGTCACAGAAAGTCGGGCACAACTAAGTGACTAACACACACATACAGTGCAGAATTGAAAAGATCAATGAAAAGGTGGTAGAACAAAGTCTCTTCCACTCCTGCCTCTCATCCACCCAATTTCCCTTACCAGAGGTAACCGCTATCTGAGGAGGCCTTACAAATAGCTGTGAAAAGAAGAGAAGCGAAAAGCAAAGGAGAAAAGGAAACATATTCCCATTTGAATGCAGAGTTCCAAAGAATAACCAGGAGAGATAAAGCCTTCCTCAGCGATCAATGCAAAGAAATAGAGGAAAACAACAGAATGGGAAAGACTAGAGATCGCTTCAAGAAAATTAGAGATACTAAGGGAACATTTCATGCAAAGATGGGCTCAATAAAGGACAGAAATGGTATGGACCTAACAGAAGCAGAAAATACTAAGAGGTGACAAGAATACACAGAAGAACTGTACAAAAAAGATCTTCACGACCCAGATAATCAAGATGGTTTGATCACTCACCTGAAGTCAGACATCCTGGAATGCAAAGTCAAGTGGGCCTTAGGAAGCATCACTACAAACAAAGCTAGTGGAGGTGATGGAATTCCAGTTGAACTATTTCAAATCCTGTAAGATGATGCTGTGAAAGTGCTGCACTCAATATGCCAACAAATTTGGAAAACTCGGCAGTGGCCACAGGACTGGAGAAGGTCAGTTTTCATTCCAATCCCAAAGAAAGGCAATGCCAAAGAATGCTCAAACTACTGCACAATTGCACTCATCTCACACGCTAGTAAAGTAATGCTCAAAATTCTCCAAGCCAGGCTTCAGCAATATGTGAACCGTGAACTTCCAGATGCTCAAGCTGGTTTTAGAAAAGGCAGAGGAACCAGAGATCAAATTGCCAACATCTGTTGGATCATCAAAAAAGCAAGAGAGTTCCAGAAAAACATCTGTTTCTGCTTTATTGACTATGCCAAAGCCTTCGACTGTGTGGATCACAATAAACTGAAAAATTCTGAAAGAGATGCGAATACCAGATCACATGACCTGCCTCCTGAGAAATCTGTATGCAGGTCAGGACGCAACAGTTAGAACTGAACATGGAACAAGAGGCTGGTTCCAAATAGGAAAAGGAGTACGTCAAGGCTTTATATTGTCACCCTGCTTATTTAACTTATATGCAGAGTACATCATGAGAAACACTGGGCTGTAGGAAGCACAAGCTGGAATCAAGATTGCTGGGAGAAATATCAATAACCTCAGATATGCAGATGACACCACCCTTATGGCAGAAAGTGAAGAGGAACTAAAAAGCCTCTTGATGAAAGTGAAAGAGGAGAGTGAAAGAGTTGGCTTAAAGCTCAACATTCAGAAAACTAAGATCATGGCATCTGGTCCCATCACTTCATGGGAAATAGATGGGGAGACAGTAGAAACAGTGTCAGACTTTATTTTTTTGGGCTCCAACATCACTGCAGATGGTGACTGCAGCCATGAAATTAAAAGACACTTACTCCTTAGAAGGAAAGTTATGACCAACCTAGATAGCATATTAAAAAGCAGAGACATTACTTTGCCAACAAAGGTCCATCTAGTCAAGACTATGGTTTTTCCAGTGGTCATGTATGGATTGGAGAGTTGGACTGTGAAGAAAGTTGATCGCTGAAGAATTGATGCTTTTGAACTGTGGTGTTGGAGAAGACTCTTGAGAGTCCCTTGGACTGCAAGGAGATCCAACCAGTCCATCCTAAAGGAGTTCGGTCCTGGGTGTTCATTGGAAGGACTGATGCTGAAGCTGAAACTCCAATACTTTGGCCACTTCATGCGAAGAGTTGACTCACTGGAAAAGACCCTGATGCTGGGAGGGATTGAGGGCAGGAGGAGAAGGGGACGACAGAGGATGAGATGGCTGGATGGCATCACCGACTCGATGGACATGAGTTTGGGCAAATTCCAGGAGTTGGTGATGGACAGGGAGGCCTGACGTGCTGCAGTTCATGGGGTCGCAAAGAGTCGGACACGACTGAGCAACTGAACTGAACTGAACTGACTAACCACAGCTACCTATTTCTTTTGTAACCTTCCACATATATTCTTTGAATATATCTAATAATACATATTAATATATATATATGTAAAAAAATAAGCATAACTGTTAGTCACTCAGTCTTGTCTGACTCTTTGCCACCCCGTGGACCATAGCCTACCAGGCTCCTCTGTCCATGGAATTCTCCAGGCAAGAATACTGGAGTGGGTTGCCATTTCCTTCTCCAGGGGATTTTTCTGACTCAGGGATTGATCTGGGTCTCCCGCATTGCAGGCAGATTCTTTATCATCTGAGCCACTTATTTGATGTTTAGGATTTCATTTCATGTTTTCCCACATAATTATTATATGTGTGTATGTGTCTGTGTGTGTGTGTGTGTGTGTGTGTGTGTGTATATATATATATATATACACACACACACACACATAAAATTTTCTCCTTTAAAAAAGAAACACACACATATGTATGTTTTCTCCTTTAGAAGAGGAAAGCAAATGACTGCAGGCTATACTTAGTGTTTCTGTACTTTGCATTTTTCATTTAACAATATATCTAAGAGATAGTTGTATCAGTATATGAAGTAACAGTTTATCTTTTTAGTGGCTGTGTAGTGTTTGATTGAACCATGTATCATAATTTACTGAACCAGTCCTATTAAAGCACAGTCAAGTTTCTAATCTTTTGTTCTGTGTACTGTGTCCTATTCCTATACATATTGACATTCTCCACAAATGCATAAATATGTCAAATAAATTCCTCCTAGTAGTAGCATACAAAACTTAGGTAGAATCTGTGTATACTGAAATAATACGGGTTTTTGATCACTGATGCAGTGTTTTGGCAGTTATTCACCATATAATGCTAAATTTTACTAGGAATTCTAGGATTATTTTCTTTTTCTATATAATACTCCATTTCTCATGGTTCTTATGAACATTTTTTTCCCTCCCCACATATGATAATTGTAGCTTTATGGTCAAAAGAATCAAGTATATTTAGGAAATATAGACAAACAATGACCGAATGCATTATGGTTCTGGTCCCGTGGTACTGACAAATAGCTCTTCTGTGGAGCTCTTTTCCTAGAAAGCTAATTTAATTTTATCATTTGGGATACATATGAAACCAATATTATTATAATTCCTCATTACAGAGGGGGAACTTGAGGCAGCTTCTTGTGAAGTGATTTACCCAGGGTCGGGTTTACCCAGATTTAAATCACTCCTGAATCTGAATAGTTTTTTTTCCTCCCTCTCAATTTTCTTTTCTTCCTAACGCATCTACCCACTTTAGAAATAATACTGCCTTCCTAAGTAGTTTCAGTATAGTTTATTTATAGTAAAATGTCTTAGAAGACATGCTTCAGTTTCATGTGTGCTGTCATGAACATGTAATTTGTTGTTAATCTCAGTTCATGTTGCGATAATTTTATGTATTATGTTTTCACATTTAAAAAAATGAGTGGTATCCTATGCCCTGGGCTTCCCAGGTGGCTTAGTGGTAAAGAATATGCCTGCCATTGCAGGAGCTGCAGGAGACTTGGGTTTGATCCCTGCATCGAGAAGATCCCCTGGAGGAGGAAATGGCAACCCACTCCAGTATTCTTGCCTGGAGAATCCCATGGACAGAGGAGCCTGGCGGGCTACAGTCCTTGGGGTCACAAAGAGTTGGATATGACTGAGCGACTGAGCACACATCCTCTGTACCATTCACGGTGCAGAGTACTTTTCCTTATAGCCTTATGAGGTGATTCCAACAGCCCTCTGAAATGTTAATATTATTTTCAGTTCCTAAATGAAGAGCGTTTCAGAGAATTGAAGTTTCTTACCTACAACTTCTCACTGGAGTCAGAATTTGAATCCAGAACTTCTCGCTTTAATCTGTTGCTCCTTCTATACTTCATCCATGGTGAGACTTCTAATAGCAAGCACATGGCAGACACCTTTTCAGTGATGAAACCATGCCTATTTGCTACAGTTACCACTATTTTAACTCTTTATGTTGTTTCACATTTATATGAAACATTGTCTACTTGCTATTTTTGTTTCCAGAGCGTCTGAAATTGCCAATAGATTAACCTTGTCTTTGATGGTTACCCCTCTTTTTACTTTTCTCTTTTGTTTAAATACCCTGGTGGCAGTCAAGGTGTATATAGGTGTATATAGGTTTCTCAATCAAAACACCTGTGTAATCTTGGACTGTGCAATCTTGGACTCTTGTGTAGCAGGCCTTCCCCTCTGGAAACCTTTCCTCACAGTAGTTGAGGGGGTGGGTCAGGCAGGTTAGGCAGCAGGTCTAGGACACAGGAGCGGGATCCTCATCTGATGGAGACTAGGTTTGAGATTAGAGAGGCTCCATGGGATGCTCCCTCCTTTCATGCCCTGCTGCGGTAGGCCAGTTAACAGTCCTGTTTTTCTGAAGGAATTGTTGATTTCATTTTTGGCCCTTGGAGACAGTAAAGGTGCTCTTAAGAATTTCACAGCAGAGACAGTTTATCTTTGGTGCTCTCTTCAGCCCTTCCCTCTCACATCTCTTTAGTGAAAATCTGTACATTTCCTGCTGTCCCCTATCTGCCTGGTGCTCTGTTGAGATTTTGAGCAGTCTTTCTTGACAAATCAGAGATCTTTAAACTCTCACTTCTTCTAAATGTATAAGCCTCTCTGATCCCAGGTACAAGTCCTAAGCCCTCAATTTCCTTTGGGCCTAATGTTCTCATAGACTTAATGGCTCTACTTAAACCCTGCATTATTTTCCAGTGGTTGTATTCTTTGTTTAATTTAGGATTTGAAAACTTGGTGTTGTAATATTCACATATATCATTAGGGGGCAGCATATCATTACCTAACTAAATAGATTTCTGAGTTCAGTTAAAATAATGGTGAAGAATGAATTAACATGATTCTTTTGTTTTCTTCTTAGCCTTTTATATCCTCTGATATATTGCTTAGTTGCTCAGTTGTGTCCGACTCTCTGCAGCCCCATCGACTGTAGCCCACCAGGCTCCTCTGTTCATGGGATTCTCTAGGCAAGAGTACTGGAGTGGGAAGCCATTCCCTTCTCCAGAGAATATTCCCAACCCAGGGGTCAAACCCCGGGTCTCCTGCATTGCAGGCAGATACTTTACCGTCTGAACACCAGGGAAGCCCCCCCCCCCCCGATATATATGCCACTTATAAAATAGTTCTTATGTATTCTGTCTCTTACAATTGTTATTCTTGTTTAATCGGGTGATTTTTCTAAGCTCCTTTTTCTTTTTTAAATAGGTGGGAAATACACCAAGAGTGATTTCAAGGAGTATGAAAAAGAACAGGATAAACCATCTAATTTGGTTCTGAAAGATAAAGTAAAGCCCAAACAGGAGTATCCTTCACAAGAACTAGTTGGCCCATATGTGTTGACCTTCTACTCTGGAGAGTACATTGTCATATCTTATGAAAAGACTATAGAAAACAAGGTACCTGAATTCAGATGCTCTGTGACGAAATCAGTTTATCTCTTTTCACCATTTTACATATGTATACTTTGTTTTTTCAATATATTCTTTGTTGTGGGGAGAAAGTTAGGGTTGAGAAATTTAAGACTAATTCTTTTACCTCCCTACACTTAGGTTAAGGTTACCACTTATTTTCAGAAGAAATGCAGTTAAGAGTTGTATTTTCTATATATAATCTTAATGTTTTAAATGTCTCACCGTCAGAAATTTCTTTACTATTGCACTCCTGCTGTGTGCAAGAGTTGACTTCTATAGGATTAAAAAGAAATCCAAAGACTTGAGTCTTTATAAATTTGTCCAAGTTTTAGGTTGAGACAAGAAAGAAGCAATGAAACATACTTTTCATGTGATGTTATTTTAATTTGTTCATTGATACTCTCATTATAAACCTATCACTCCACAGGTGGTTATTTCTTTTGCAGTTCTTATCTGGTGAATGGTTTCTTTGTTTCCTAGTTTCTATTGGTGTTTTAGGGATACTCTTTCCCCATACTGTGTAAACATTTTTTTCCCAAAGAATTCATCAAGGAAAGATGAATATCAGGTTGACCTGTTGTGTGTTTGTTTTTTATTGTATTAGCTGTCTGCAGTGCACAAAGCATTGTAAGGTGTTAGAGCTAGATAATGTCTGGAGTGTACTGACATAGTCAACACGAGGGAAGTTTTCATATTCAGACTCTAAACCAAACACTAAACTAAGATTGGTCTGAAAAGATGAACATTAGAGGGTGTTTGATTGAATTCTTAGCATCATAAAAGGTATGGATAGATACACTTGAGGTTGATTCACCAAATCTTTGAAATTAAATTGAGGCAAATCACTAGAAACTGCAGCTGGAAGAGGGGTGTGTGTAGGACAAATGAAAAGAAAGTCACTGTGGAGTATAAAGTAGAAAGAGCATCTTCTGCTGTAAAGGAAGGCTACCTAGTATAAGAGTGTTTGATATTCAAGGTGATAGATTACTGTGAGTTAAGAAAGAAACTCGGCATATTTGAGAAGCAGTCCCTAGCCCAGTGCTGCCTAATGAGACTTCCTGCAGTGATGGAAGCGTGCTGTACCTCCCCTGTTCAGTGTGGCTACTAACCACGTGTGGTTTGTGAGCGTCTGAAGTGGAATGAGGAACAGGGTTTTATAGCTTGTCTGATTTTCATTAATCTAAATTTAAGCCACTGCCCATAGCTAGTATTGAACAGTGTTGCTTTAACGCTTTGAAGTTGATACAGAAGACAGGCATGTCCTGGTGCAAACCACGTGTTCGGATACAGAATATTGAACAAGAGAAAGGAATTCATGAATCTGACCTAGTGGAATGATCTTTATGTTTTTGGTAATTGATAGGTTTTGTTTTAGCAAGACATTTATTGTTTCAGATACATTAATAGAGGGACAGGACATATGTTTTCATATATGTTTTCACATATATTACTTTATTGTGGTGAACAAGGGGGATTCTGAGGATTATCTAAGTACTGATAAGTCAGAAAGACATGGGAAGTACTTTATAGATCATGAGAGAGAAATTGCTATACAACTATTAATAAGGTTCAAAAATAGAGGTAGAAGACAGAAGTTTAACTTTGCTAGACTAGACCTTGGTAAGTAATTGGAGAAGAGGTCAGGGGGATCACGAAATAGGGTTTTGGAGAGATTTGACATCTTCTAAAAGTCTTGATGGTAGTAGTGAGTAGAAGATAGTGGATGAGCTAGGAAGGAAGAGATATAATGAGTGTCTTAGTAATGAGCCAATACTTATTTGGCTGTTACATGCCCAGAGAAATTTAGCTATGAAACATGGCCCCTGCCCACATGGACCTTGTGTTGTATTTTGGAGTTGGGGTAAGAACAGACATTAAATAATCACCATTAATTAAATATGTGTAGAATGTTGCAAAGAAGTGCATCTGTGGGATAGTTCAGTTCAGTTCAGTTGCTCAGTCGTGTCTGACTCTGCGATCCCATGAATCACAGCACGCCAGGCCTCCCTGTCCATCACCAACTCCTGGAGTTTACCCAAACTCATGTCTGTTGAGTTGGTGATGCCATCCAACCATCTCATCCTCTGTCATCCCCTTCTCCTCCTGCCCTCAATCTTTCCCAGCATCAGAGTCTTTTTCAATGAGTCAGCTCTTCACGTCAGGTGGCCAAAATACTGGAGTTTCAGCTTGAACATCAGTCCTTCCAGTGAATACCCAGGACTGATCTCCTTTAGGATGGACTTACTGAATCTTCTTGCAGTCCAAGGGACTCTCAAGAGTCTTCTCCAACAGCACAGTTCAAAAGCATCAATTCTTCAGTGATCAGCTTTCTTTGTAGCCCAACTCTTACATCCTTACATGACACTGGAAAAACCGTAGCCTTGACTAGGAGGAAGTACTTGGTGACAAAGTAATGTCTCTGCTTTTTAATATGCTGTCTAGGTTGGTCATAGCTTTCCTTCCAAGGAGTAAGCATTTTTTAATTTCATGGCTGCAGTCACCATCTGCAGTGATTTTGGAGCCCAGAAAAATAGTCAGCCACTGTTTCCACATATATTTGCCATGAAGTGATGGGACTGGATGCCATGATCTTAGTTTTCTGAATGTTGAGCTTTAAGCCAAGTTTTTCACTCTCCTTTTTCACTTTCATCAAGAGGCTCTTTAGTTCTTCTTCACTTTCTGCCATAAGGGTGATGTCATCTGCATATCTGAGGTTATTGATATTTCTCCCGGCAATCTTGATTCCACCTTGTGCTTCTTCCAGCCCAGCGTTTCTCATGGGATATGGGACTCATAGTAGAGGTGAGGGGTCAGAGGATCCTCAAATGATACTGTAAGTAGTGACATTAAAGTTACAGCGAATATAGGGAGATGAGGGCTGAGGTGGGGTACTGTTTTCTTTAACTCTGGTCCATTATTTAAGGAATACAGTTTACATCTTCCCCTTGGACAGTCCAAGTATAATCATACACATACACGCAGAATTGAAAGACAAGTTTGTAAAATAATATTTTTATTAGATTCCATGTACTCTGTTTTCTAGTCTATGTTATTTTTAAATGCTGGCTTTCAGTGACCCACTAAATGGATTTTATACCCTGTTGAGTAGCAATTAGAAATACTCAGGACAAAGACAGAAATATAGATCAGTGGAACAGAATAGAAAGCCCAGAGATAAATCCATGAACCTATGGTCACCTTATCTTCGACAAAGGAGGCAAGGATATACAATGGAAAAAAGACAACCTCTTTAACAAGTGGTGCTGGGAAAACTGGTCAACCACCTGTAAAAGAATGAAACTAGAACACTTTCTAACACCATACACAAAAATAAACTCAAAATGGATTAAAGATCTAAATGTAAGACCAGAAACTATAAAACTCCTAGAGGAGAACATAGGCAAAACACTCTCCGACATAAATCACAGCAGGATCCTCTATGACCCACATCCCAGAATTTTAGAAATAAAAGCAAAAATAAACAAATGGGACCTAATGAAACTTAAAAGCTTTTGCACAACAAAGGAAACTACAAGCAAGGTGAAAAGACAGCCCTCAGATTGGGAGAAAATAATAGCAAACGAAGCAACAGACAAAGGATTCATCTCAAAAATATACAAGCAACTCCTCCAGCTCAACTCCAGAAAAATAAATGACCCAATCAAAAAATGGGCCAAAGAACTGAACAGACATTTCTCCAAGGAAGACATACAGATGGCTAACAAACACATGAAAAGATGCTCAACATCACTCATTATCAGAGAAATGCAAATCAAAACCACAATGAGGTACCATTACACACCAGTCAGGATGGCTGCTATCCAAAAGTCTACAAGCAATAAATGCTGGAGAGGGTGTGGAGAAAAGGGAACCCTCTTACACTGTTGGTGGGAATGCAAATTAGTACAGCCACTATGGAAAACAGTGTGGAGATTTCTTAAAAAGCTGGAAATAGAACTGCCATATGACCCAGCAATCCCACTTCTGGGCATACACACCGAGGAAACCAGATCTGAAAGAGACACGTGCACTCCAATGTTCATTGCAGCACTGTTTATAATAGCCAGGACATGGAAGCAACCTAGATGCCCATCAGCAGACGAATGGATGAGGAAGCTGTGGTACATATACACCATGGAATATTACTCAGCCATTAAAAAGAATTCATTTGAATCAGTTCTAATGAGATGGATGAAACTGGAGCCCATTATACAGAGCGAAGTAAGCCAGAAAGATAAAGACCATTACAGTATACTAACACATATATATGGAATTTAGAAAGATGGTAACGATAACCCTATATGCAAAACAGAAAAAGAGACTCCGATGTATAGAACAGACTTGTGGACTCTGGGAGAAGGCGAGGGTGGGATGTTTCAAGAGAACAGCATCGAAACATGTATATTATCTAGGGTGAAACAGATCACCAGCCCAGGTTGGGTGCATGATACAAGTGCTCGGGCCTGGTGCACTGGGAAGACCCAGAGGGATCAGGTGGAGAGGGAGGTGGGAGGGGGGACCGGGATGGGGAATACATGTAAATCCATGGCTAATTCATTTCAATGTATGACAAAACCCACTGCAATGATGTAAAGTAATTAGCCCCCAACTAATAAAAATAAATGGAAAAAAAAATTAAAAATAAATAAATAATTAATTAATTAATAAAAAAAATAAAAAAAAAAAGAAATACTCAGGAGCTCCGCCGCACTTTGAACAGAGCAACATGTGTAGAGCAAACACTGAGGTGAAATCATAGGCAAGGGCTACTTTTCTGGATTGGTATCTGGAAAAGGAGACTCTCCGGAAGGTACCGTGGAAACTCTTGTTACACGGACTAAAGGGAGAAAGAAGTTGGAGATAGTGGGGTAATGATAGGATGGTACAGGCTGACTCGCTGGTGTCAGCCATCTTGTGACAAGCCAGAGGGTGCATTGTTTCCTTACTGCACGAGACAGCCCTGAGGGGGCATCGAGCTGTGGCCTGGTGAAAACAGACCTGAAACTCCAGTCCTGAGGGAAGTGTGTCTGCTTTGCCTCTAGTGCCACACGCCACTAAAATGGTTCTGTGTTTGGGGCTTCTTCCTAATCTTTTTTTTGCAAACCACTATTCTAGTCTTGCCTGTTTAGGGTTTAAGATTATTGTTAGAGGGGTCCTAATAGTTCTACATTTTGTCTCATTCTCAGATACTGAAGCTTATGAAACACTTATTTCTAAGTTAAAGCGTACATTATTATAATTTTTATAATATATTTATTGAGATTAAAAAATATTCACTCATAGGTCTACCATTTAGGCAAAGGATATGTTTTATTTTTCCTTGTTCCTTTCAAATCTTGATCTTTTATGAAGGTTTATGAAGTTATATACAATTTTTGCTTCAACCTGTTTTAACTTATTATTTTTTGTAAACACCATGCCACGTTATTTAACAGCATTCATTTGTCATTTTTAATAACTTCCTCTATAATTCCATGTTGCAGTACTCTGATGTGTTTATGTATATCTTTATTACTAGGCGGCTTATTGTTCTCAGTTTCTGTTATTTAAGATAAACCCTATTATGTATGCAGTTGGCCCTCTGCATCTTCAGGTTCTGCATCCGTGATCTCTAACTGTAGATGGAAAACATTCCGGAAAAATATACCAGAAAGTCCCAAAAAGCAAAACTTCAATTTGCTGTGGAGGCAGCTATGTATTTATGTAGCATTTACATTGTATTTACAACTATTTATATCACATTTATATTGCGGTAGGTTTTATAAGTAATCTAGAGGTGATTTGAAGTGTAAGGGAGCATGTGTGTAGGTTATAGGCAAACACTATGCTGTTTATATAAGGGACGTGAACATCTGTGGCGTTTGGTCTCCCCAGGAGGTCCTGGAACCAATCCCTGTAGATAGTGAGGGACAGCTGTGCCGTTATTCATTTAACTTACTGTCATTTCAATTTTTTATGAATTCTTATTTGAATTTCAACATGAGAACTGTTGATATGCCTTGCTAAATTTTCTCCTGTGGTACTGAACTTAGACTCAAAAGAAGAGTCACGTGAGTGTATTTTCATCTTACATAGCTTCTCTGGCATTGGGGTTTATAATGTCTTAATATTTTCAAGTTAAATATGTGCCTCATTTTTTAAGTTTAAATTTTTTCATTATTGACAAATAGGTTTCCTTATTTTTTTAATGCTACTTATATTTTTCATTTATGAAATCAATTTTTCCCCTGTGTTTTTTGCCCACTTACCCATTGTAAACTGTTTATTTGAAGCAAGAGTTCTTTCCATTTTTCCTGCCTGTGTAATGAAGTAAAATATTAATTAGTTTTGTTTTAGAAGTATATTCTATGCCCTGAGATGCTTTTTGCTTTAAAAAGTTGTCTTCAGCCTGATGGCCTCCTTGTTGACTGGTCTCTCATGTTTTGATGTGTTATCCGGGTCAGTTCTCACATTTGTCCTTAACTAGCTGCCCCAGCGCTAAATATGAACTTGTACTGGATGAGCAGGCAGAAGACGTGAAGGCGAGTCACTCACACACAAGTAAGAAACACAAGAAGAAGACCCGCCACTGCTCTGAAGAAAAAGAAGATGAGGACTACATGCCAATCAAAAGTACCAACCAGGTACGTACTGCTACTCAGACTCCGCTGTGGAGAAGCACATATTTCATCCGTCAATTACATCTTAATGATGTAAAATTTAGGAATAAAGGTATGCTTCTGAACAGGGAGGGATGCATTCTTAATTCTTAAGATGTAGAACGGTTTTACTTGGGTAATGAAACTTTAATTTTCAAGAATATATAACAGATTATAAAAGATTGTTTTCAGAATAACTTAATATGTCATATAGTTCCACACTGTGAAGCAGGAGTGATTTTCATCTCTATGAACACTTACTCATTCCCATCAAAAACAAGTGTGGTTATGGTTAAAGAAAAAAAAAATCCTTCTAATTTATCATGTTAACTTATTACCAGGTGTTGTGTATAGCACTTATAGCTCTTGAGGTTTTAGAACCTGAAAAAAACATTTATGCCCTCACATATGGTATATATGAAATAAAAGCCACATTAAATAGTTAGCTTGATCATCCCCAAAGCTTTCCTGAACAGTAAATTTTCTAAGACAATGATAATAAAAATTCCCCAAAGAAAGTAAATTAAAGAGAAGAAATCATTTCCAACCTGCAGTTTGGCTCTGAGTTAATTGAAAAGCAGATTACATTATGGCCCCTTGCTCTGGTTTTTACCACATGAGGACCTTTAAACTGGGCCTGGTAGATGAGGAGGCATTCAGTTGGCGGGGAGGTTGCGGGGGCTCACGGCAGTGGGAATCTCAAGCAAAGACACAAAGATGGAGAGATGCAGTGTGACTGGCAGAGTAAAGGATTTGCTGTCAGAGGAGCTAGGTTTGGATTCTTCACCAGCTGAGCCACAAGGGAAGCCCAGATTTCTACATTGCTGGTCACTGATGTGACCTCATCACATGACTTAGAGCTTTCTTCAGCCATGGTTTCCTCCTCTGTGAAACTGAGACAATGCTGTCTCCCAAAAGTGTGTGTGCAAACATGTTCTGCATTGGCTGTAACTATTATATTTACAGTCAATATATTTTACATCACTTGGAATCATTTCTCTCTGTGGTAAGGCCATTAACTGGATTCACATTTCAGTTTTTTCCTTTTGATGTTTACAAATCACTTAAAATATTTTCTGTTGTAGTTTGAAAAATTGTGTGGTTTCAAAGTAAAGTCTCCAGAGTGGTACACGTAGGGCACCTAGCGGCTATCCCTGCCCTCTCCCCTTTTTCTTCTTTCCTCAAGGCAGCCATTTTATGTCTTGCATGGTTTCTTCTTTTTAAAAATGACAGCAAATGCATGTTTTATATGTATTAGCACCCTATTCTCTAGACAGCATATCTTCCTACTCCTTGCTGTCATCCAGCAAGGATCTAATCTCTCTTCTTTCAATTGCCCTTTATTCATGCCCTGCTCTCTGTTTTTAAGTTACACCCTTGTCAATCCCTCCAGTAATCCTCACATGAATCAGTAATAGTAACATCTGTTGCGTCCTTGTAATGCAAGGTAGATGCTATTGTCTCTATTCACAAGAAAGTAAAAGATAGAAAGGTTAAGCTACTTGCCAGTGGTCTTAATGCAGCTAGTAGGTAGTAGAAGCACAGTGTACATCTGGACCTGTACCCCCACTGCTGTTCCTCTTACCTGGAATGTATTCCTGTCAGATTCTTTCACAAATCTCCTTCCCTGTGATATATTCCTGCCAGCAGTTTTCTTTCCTAAATCCAATTGGGAATTCATGTAGCTTGTCCCATAGTATAATATTCCAGTGTCATCTAATAGGAACATCTCCCTATTAATTTTTATACTCTTATTAATTTAGCCAACGGTCATCTCAACATCTTTTTTAATGGTAGCTATGTCACATTTCTATGAATATTTAGCATGTTTTCCACTAAAACTCTATAATCATCCCAACTCCCATATGTTGCCACAGCTCCTCATCTTATACTTGTACATGGAATCCGTGATGAATTTAGGCCTGAAATACACATTGATGTGTTTGAGATAATCAGCAGTCTTAAAAAAATCCGAAGATGGGCTGCATTTCAAGTCTGTGGTTCCCATCTTTGCACCCCTGCCTTTTTGTGAATCTTTCTTTGTCTTGCTGTTTGATTACTTAAGACTTTACAGTAACATCAGTAAATGTCCTTCTCTTTTGGCAATAATATTTTAACTTTATCCCTTCCCTTGAAGTGTATTAAAGCAGTTCTTTTTGGTTTTATACTTTGATTTAATAATATAGCTGCACTGATTTTCTTTTCCTCCTAATAAAATAGCATCCATATTTAAGATTTCAGTGGGCCCAATTTTTTTCTATTATTCTGCTTTTTATCCTTTTGATTTTAATCTCAAAAGTATTACATAATCATTAAAGGAAATTTTCAGTGCTAAGTAATTTTCAGGTACAGCTCAAATTTTCCTATTTCTTGATCTTTTTGCTTGGTGAGCTTAGTTTCCTAAGAATGCTTTATTTCTTCAAGTGCTTTGTTTTTTATTGACCGACAGCCTTACTGTTCAATTCGAAATCTGTTTATAATTTTTCCACCTCGTGTCTTAAATCCAGAGATGGTTACTGTGTTCTTAAAGTTTGAGTCTTACTGGGGTTACAGGAAATGAGTACTCCACCGCGGGCTGCCTGGCTGAGAAACATCAGCCTGCTTGCCTGTCCTCCTCTGTGGCTTTCATGGGTGTTCAGTGTTCTTATAATCCGGAGCTCTGTTTTTGTCATTTTCATCATTTAATACTATTTTAGTGATTTAGATGTTACTGAATCTCCAGTTTACTGCTGGAGACCTCATCAAAGTTTGATTTTTTAATTTTTTGACTACTAAACGTGAAGTCATTGGCTCAGTTAAGTTGATTGCCTTAAACTGGCCATTTTATGGTATTCTTTCATTTTTTTTAGCTGCATGCTTGTTTAATCATCATGTCTTATTTCTTAAATCTATAAAATGAGTAGGATTTCTAAAAGTCCATATTGGAAATGACTTAGAGCTTATCTAAGTTGTTTCCCTGACCTTAGATAAGAAAATCCTGACCCCGCAAGCCCCCATGGACCTTATAGTTTAGTAGGAGGACTGAAATTTTAATGTTTTAAAAAAATTCAATCAGATATGGTATTATTTTTTCATTACTGCCCCCTTTTCAGTTTTATTTGTAAAGTTACTGATCAGTTAAATAAGAGTCTCTGTTTCCTTATATCTCGTGACATACGCCACGAGCACTGAGCACTGTGCAAGCACACACTTGGATATGTTCTAATCTGGCTTCACCTAAACTTCTCTCATTCATGCATACGGTGCTGTCTGCCTTGCTGTCAGTTTTCACATACACTTCTTGCATTAGCCTTCTTGCAGCCAATCCAAGCCCTCACTCACTCATCTTTTGAGGCTCAAGTCCTTTTTAGCTCCTCTGTGAACCTTCACTGATAAATCTAACCTCAAGAGGATTTGTTTGACACCTTTCCTAAATGGCAAAGACCATTTGAACCTAGAACTGCGTGACTTCAAAGCTTGTGTAGCTTTGAAAACTAAGCCAAGTAGGAGAGGCTTTAAGATTTCAGTCCATTTCAGGTTTTCAGCTTCCTCAACTTTTTTCAAAGAATTAAGTACTATGTAATCTCTCTTTCTTATTTTATTTTATTTTTTTCTCTTTCTTATTTTAAACACTCAAAGCATTTAAGTGCCTGTTGGTATAATAATGTGCTGAAGACTTTATAGGATTATCCATCAGTTAAAACAGTCTCCATTTAAGAAGTTTATTGCCTCAACCAGAACTTGCTGTACAGTCAGAATAATACATACATATTTACATTTTGTGTATGTTACAGGAAGAACAAAAGTCTTTTTCCTAGGGATGTCACATTTTGCTCAAAAATAATTGGTAAAAGTTTAAGTTGAAACACCTACTCATTTTCTACCTCTGGGACTCTTACAGAATGATAGAAACTATTGGTATTGTGGGAAATAATGAATCAGTTTATAGGAGGTCTTCCACAAATGTTGTGGCACAAAACAGTCTTGTTAGGTCTGTTTTCCCATACTGCAATCCCTGTAATAAGCATAATGTATGGTATCCAGACATTATATGGAATAATTGTGAATCATTTCCTTAAAACCCAGACCATAACCATGGATATTCATCACTTGGATTTTAAACTTTGACATTTACATCTACTGTAATAATGTCTAAGGTAATAGAGTTGGGCACTTGGGAGTTCAGTCCTCAGAATTTCCCCTTTGTTTTGAGAAATCTTTTTAGAAAGTTGAATTTTATCAATTATTCTTGAAAGAGCATTGGCTCTGATATCTTTAGATTTCAGCCACTTGCTGAGGTACTCATTTTGATCAAGGATAAGACATGAGCAGAGGCAGAGTGGTGCTGTAACTAGCCCTTTTCTGTATGGGAGTTACTTCTGCTCCTTGAGGGGCTGTTGGCTCAGATGGTAGAGACGGTAAAGCAGCCACCTGCAGTCCTGGAGACCTGGGTTCAGAGCCTGGGTCAGGGAGATATGCGAGAGAAGAGGATGGCCACCCCCTCCATGTCCTTGCCTGGAGAATCCTATGGACCTTGCCGCTCAGTTACTGAGAACAGAAGTGAATGCACCCGCTTTGAAGATTTAGAGAGGAGCTGTTATAAAAAAAAAAAAAGTACTTTAAAAAATAATTGCTCAGACCCAAGTATTCAGAATCTATTTTCTCTCCTCTTTAGACTGATTGACCTGTCTCAAATCTCTTTTGGATATGTTATTTAACTGATGTCTTCTTTATAGCATTCTTAATGGGGATTTTAGTAGTTTCATTGTGGATCAGTGATGGAACCACATTTTGGGGGAGTGGGGAAGGGGAGAGTGGAACAATGGCTGTGCATCACCAGAATTCTCGGTATTGCAATTTCTCCCAAAGACTTATTTCAACTGGGCTATTTCAGTTGCTTGTTTTTAGATATGGTCTTTCAGTTCAGCTGAAAGAGTAGGTACAAAGCAGTGAGATCAGTCAGAAAATGGTTCAGTCTTTTTCTGAATTAGTTTTGCTTTTTAATTTGCAGGATTCTTGGCGTTAGTGGTAGTGTTCAAATTTGACCTGTTAAAACTGCTTGCTAATGGGGGATATGTCTTAAGTTTTGTGAATTGATAGTCCTACAAAATGATTATTTTACTGATTCACTTATACCTCTCTCTCTCTTCCTTTGATAGGATATCTACAGGGAAATGGGCTTTGGTCACTATGAAGAAGAAGAAAGTTGTTGGGAGAAGCAGAAGAGTGAAAAGAGGGACCGACCTCAGGACCGAAGTCGTAGCCGATCTCGAGAAAGGGATGGCCACTATAGTAACAGTCACAAATCCAAATACCAGGCAGATCCCTATGAAAGAGAAAGGAGTAAAAAGAGAGACCGAAGCAGGAGTCCCAGGAAATCCAAAGATAAAGAAAAATCCAAGTACAGATGAAAGTGGATCAATCAGACATGAGTGCTAATATATTTACTCTTGTATAACTTGGAGTACCAGATGTTCAGATTTCGTGTCAGAGCAGTTAAAGACTCTGCTTGTTATTTTTTTTCACAGTAGGATTATGGCCCTTTTAGATTAATACTGATTGTGTAGGGCGCTGAAAGACAATAAAGAATTGAACATTTTCTTTGTATACTTTTTTACACTAATTTTATTGTTATACATAAATCAGTAGTTTTCATTTTTAAAGTCTTTCATATTTTCAGTCTTTATTTTTAATGAAGTATTTCATACCTGCAAAAATACACAATCATGTATATATAAGGTATAAAGAATAATAAATGTCTGTGTACCAATCAGCCAACTTAGGAAATGAATATTGCTGGCATTTTAAAAGTGCCGTCTCCTCAAATAATTATTATTTTGAATGTTGTGTTTGTCATTCTCTTGCTTATTACAGTTTTACAACATATGTAAGTATCCCTAAATGAAGTACTAAGTTTTGTATTTTTTTGAATTTTTATATAAATGGTATAATGTGTGTTTACTTCTGTGACTGGCTTTTTTCAACTTAGTATCTTCTAAAAGTCATCCACTTTTATTGCTATACTGTATTATATGACAAGTCTGTAATTTATCCATTCTTCTGTTGATGGATGTTTGGGGTTTTGGTTTTTGTTTTCTTTTTTTGCTGTTGTACACAGTGCTGCTATAAACATTCTTTATCTAGGAATAATTTGCTTGGTTATGTGATATGGATATTTTCATCTTTATAAGATAATGCCAAATTATATTCTGCAGTGGCTGTAACAATTCATACCCCTAGGCACTATTTGAATTACCTTTGTTTCACATGATAATATTTCATATCATATTTCACATCTAGTACTTGCTAATTTCAGACTTTTTAATTTTGTCAATCCAGTGGCTGTTAAGTGGTATATTATTACAGTTTCCAGCAAGAACACTACTATTTTTCTTACATTTGTTCTTCTATATAGAATTTTTTTTTTATTCTTTTTCTCTGGTTGCTTTAAAGGTTTCTCTTGATCATTGCTGTTGAGCACTTTGATTATGATGTGCTTGGTATAGTTTTTGTTTGTTTGTTTTCCCCTTCATGTTTCTTCTGCTGGGGCTGTTTATCTGTAGGTTTATGGTTTTCATCAAATTTGGAATTTGGGGGACTTTTTCATGACTTTTTTTTTTGTCTCTGTCCTTCATTTCTTCCCTCTGGGATTCTTCATTGTGTGTTAGACCACTTGAAACTGTTGCAGCAAGCACTCTTGTGCTCTGTTTTGTTTTCTGTCCTTTTTCCCTGTCTTCCAGATTGGTTTCAGTCGCCATTCCTCAAGTTCATTAGCCTTTTCTCCTGAAGTATCTAATTTCTTGTTAATCCCATCCAGTGTATTTTTCACCTCATATATTATATTTTTAATCTTCAGAAGTTCCATGTGGGTCTGTCTTGTATTTTCCATGTCTCTCCTTCCAGACTCCTGCTTTCCTCTTTTTTTTTTTTTGTTTTTTGTTTTGGACATCTGACATGTATTTGTAATTACTATTTTGACCTTTCTATCATCTACCATTTCTTGTCTGTTTCTATTGATTTTTCCCCCTCTCTTTATTAGGTTGCAATTTCCTTCTTTGCATGCCTGATAATTTTTGGATTTTACATTGTTGGGGGCTAGAGCTTATTCCTTTAAATATGTTGAGCTTTGTTCTGGGAGATAGTTATTTAGAAACAGCTTGATCCTTTCATAGCTTGCTTTTACACTTAATGATCTAGGACCAGAACAGCCTTTAATCTAGAGCTAGTTGGGCTCACTACTGAGGTAATAACCCTTCTGAATAATCCTCCTTCTGCCTGGTTTTTAATGAGCTTTCTCCACGCTGGCTATGGAGAATGAGAACTGTTCTGAGCCCTGTATGAACTTGAATTTTACCACTTACTCCTTTCTGGTGGTTCTTCCCCACCTTTGGGTAGTCTTCTCAAATGTATACACTGTTCAGCTGAAGCCTCAGGGGATCTCTGCAGAACTCTCCCTTTGTGGCCCCCTCCTCTCTCCGGTGCTCTGCGTATGTATGTATGAGGCGCTCAGTCGTGTCCGACTCTGGGACCCATGGACTGGGGCCTGCCGGGCTTCTCTGTCCATGGGAGTTCCCAGGCAAGAATCTGGAGTGGGTTGCCGTTTCCAGTACTCTGCCCTACAGATTTTACCTTGGTGTCCCAAATGCTCCGGTAGGGGGACGCCCGGGCTCTCCCTGCAGCTAGTCCGGGCAATGGTAGGACTTTCCTGTTTGTTCTCTCAAGAGTCACTGCCCTGCACAGTTGTCCAGTGTCTGAAAAAGCCTGTTGTATATGTTTTGTACAGGTGTTGCATTGGTTAACATGGAGAAGGGAAACCCTGGCCCTGTCACTCCACTTTGGCCAGAGTGGAAGTCTTATTGTTTGTGCATTTCCTAAATGCTAATAAGGTTGAGCTTCTTTTCACGTATATTCATTTCCTGAATGCTCTCAGTGAAAAGCTTATTTCATGTCTTTTGCGCATTTTATATTATGTTATTGCTTTTTTATTTTATGTTTCCTTAAGGAATTAAACAGATTGTGGACACTAGTCCTGTTTTACTACTAAATGTTGTAAACATTTCTCACCGTTCGTGGTTACATTTTCACCTATTGATGCCTTTGGAAGAGCACAAGTTGTAAATTCCGCCTCCCCCCACCTTTCTCCCCTGAACTTTTTAATATGAAAGGTTTCATACATGTGTAGAAACACAAAAACATAACAAACCTCCATATTGATTCTGTCCAAATTAAACTAACATTTTGTGGTTGAATAATTTTAAAGTAAATTGAAAACATTTCACCTTTCAGTATTTCACCATGCATTTTCTAAAAAGTGTCCTCTATAACCACGATAGTATTGTCACACTGAAAACAAACAACAATCTCATATTATGTAACATACTCAGATTTCTCCCATTGTCCCAGGGATGTCATTTTTTGATGTTGATTTGTTTCTAAACCCAGTCTCAACCATGCTTCATGTAGTGCTTGTCGTCATTTTATTCTCTTGATCTAAGAGTTCTCCTGCCATCCTGCCACCTCAACCACTTTTTTAAAAAAATTTTTAGATCACATTGAAGAATTCAGGCCAGTTGCTTTGTAGAGTATTCCACATTCTGAAATTATTTGATGATATCTTCGTGATGTCCTTCATCCTTTCTACTTTTTATAAGCTGTGAGTTAAGTCTAGATATTTGATTAAAATTAGGTTATGCCTTTTAGACAAATTTTTAAGTTTAGTGTCAAATTTATTAACATTTCCCTGTATGTTTTGTGCTTTTTGTATTTTGTTGAAGAAATCCTTAATAAAGATATTCTGCTATATTCCAAAAGTATAAAGTTTTATTTTTTACATTCAGTCCATATTGAATTGTTTGTGTGTTATGTGTATGGTGTGATAAGAGGGATTTAAATTCACTTTTCCCCCCACATATGGCTCTAATCAGTTGTCCAAAATCTATTATGAAGTGAAAGTCACTCAGTTGTGTCTGACTCTGCAACCCCATGGACTCTACAGTCCATGGAATTCTCCAGACCAGAATACTGGAGTGCGTAGCCTTTCCCTTCTCCAGGGGATCTTCCCAACCTAGGATTTGAACCGGGGTCTCCCACGTTGCAGGCAGATTCTTTACCAGCTGAGTGAGCCACGAGGGAAATAATGCTTTTTAAAAACCTGTTAGGAATGGTTCATCTATTTCCCATTGATCTATCATATAAGTTTTTATAGATTTGTGTGTGGGTTTTGTTTCATGGGCTCTCTGTTCCATTGGTTTATTGTTTGTTCCAACACGAATACCAAATATCTATATTTCTATGGCTTTAAAGAATCTCGGTATTTAAGCAACACCCTCCCTCCCCGCCCACACCCGCCCCCCACCCCCCACCATCTGTTTCATTAGCAATGCTGTGGCAATTTTTTCTGTGTATTTGGAACCAACTTGTTAGGTTTCCCAAAGGATTCTGTTAGGACTTCAACTGTATTTATATTCAAATAGTAGATCACTTTGTGGCAACAATATCTTCATGTATCTTCCTATTCATACAGGCTGCATGTGTGTGTGTGTATGCATGCATGTGCTCAGTCGTGTCCAACTCTTTGTGATCCCATGGACTGTAGCCCACCAGGCCCCTCTGTTCATGGGATTTCCCAGGCAAGAATCCAGGAGTGGTTTGCCATTTCCTTTTCCAGGGGATCTTCCCCATCCAGGGATCAAACCTGAGTCTCTGGCATCTCCTGCATTGGCAGGCAGATTCTTTACCACTGCGCCACCTGAGAGGCCCAAAGATAGCGAACCCCTCCATTTATTTCTTAGAATTTTCTTTTTAAAGCTTTTGAACATTTTAGATTTACTGCTAGTTTATCATTTATGTTCTGTTATAAATGATATCTTACAAATGATTTTTTTCGGTTTCTTGACCAAAGAAGTTAGATTTTTGATTAAATATCCCTGAAATATCCAGCCATTTTGCTAAAAGTCTTTTATTGAGAATTTGTATGGTTTTCTTGGGTCTTTTATGTGGACAATAAGTGACAGTGGTATTCATATAGTGCTTACTGGCTAAAATTTCTAGTACTGTGATAAAATTTTCCTATAATCTTCCTTTTCTGTGTTATTCTTAATCTGGATTTGATGTCCACATTATAGAGTTAAGTTTGTGACTGTTCTTTTTTTTCTATTAGAAGAGAAAGATTGAAATAGCTCTTCCTTGAATGTTGGACAGACGGTGCCTACAAAATGGTCTGACCTTAGCATTTCTTTTGTGAGAAAATTTAACTAATGATTAAATTTCAGTAATTATAGAATTCTTAGTTTTTCTGTTACTCTCAAAAAGTTTATTCATTTTTGTTACTTTGTCTTTCTGTAAATTTTTTGTTTTCATTGATGTTTTCAATTTATGTGAAGATATTTGCAGTACACCTAGTTGGTTTTTTTTACTGCCCTTTTAATTTTGTCTTACTTGGTCCTGATGTTTTAGTGTCTCAGAAACAGCACATAGCAAAATGGGTTATGTTTTATCTGATCATAACTGATGAGTTTAGTCCTGATTATTTACTAATATATTTGGATTTATTCCTACAACCTTATTTTGTGCTTTTTTGGGTTTTTGTTTTCATTTTCTTTTGGATTAATTTAAAACTTGAAAAAATATTCTGCCCTCTTCCCCCTCATCTTCTTTGTCCTGGGGAATTGCCTTTGAATTTCCCATCCATACTTAAAATGTAAGGTGATATTTTCACCCTCCTTTCTAACTGAAGATATTAGACATCTTTAAAGTTTAAATCACCACTTTTCTAATTTTGTGCCATAATCCTCCAGTGTTTTAGTTTTAGCTTGTGATTTTTAACCTTAGAAATTAGTCTGTATTGTTATTACCGTTTTTATACAGATAACTATTAGATTTACCCATATGTTAATCGTTTCTTTTACCCTCCATTCTTCTTGCATCTCAGATCTTCCATCTAGTATCATTTTGTATTTTTCTGAAGCACAACCTTTGGTTTTTTTTTTTTTTTCATTTATTTTTATTAGTTGGAGGCTAATTACTTTACATCATTGCAGTGGGTTTTGTCATACATTGAAATGAATTAGCCATGGATTTACATGTATTCCCCATCCCGGTCCCCCCTCCCACCTCCCTCTCCACCCGATCCCTCTGGGTCTTCCCAGTGCACCAGGCCCGAGCACTTGTCTCATGCACCCAACCTGGGCTGGTGATCTGTTTCACCCTAGATAATATAGGTGTTTCGATGTTGTTCTCTTGAAACATCCCACCCTCGCCTTCTCCCAGAGTCCACAAGTCTGTTCTATACATCGGAGTCTCTTTTTCTGTTTTGCATATAGGGTTATCGTTACAATCTTTCTAAATTCCATATATATGTGTTAGTATACTGTAATGGTCTTTATCTTTCTGGCTTACTTCGCTCTGTATAATGGGCTCCAGTTTCATCCATCTCATTAGAACTGATTCAGATGAATTCTTTTTAATGGCTGAGTAATATTCCATGGTGTATATGTACCACAGCTTCCTCATCTATTCGTCTGCTGATGGGCATCTAGGTTGCTTCCATGTCCTGGCTATTATAAACAGTGCTGCGATGAACATTGGGGTGCACGTGTCTCTTTCAGATCTGGTTTCCTCGGTGTGTATGCCCAGAAGTGGGATTGCTGGGTCATATGGCAGTTCTATTTCCAGCTTTTTAAGAAATCTCCACACTGTTTTCCATAGTGGCTGTACTAATTTGCATTCCCACCAACAATGTAAGAGGGTTCCCTTTTCTCCACACCCTCTCCAGCATTTATTGCTTGTAGACTTTTGGATAGCAGCCATCCTGACTGGCATGTAATGGTACCTCATTGTGGTTTTGATTTGCATTTCTCTGATAATGAGTGATGTTGAGCATCTTTTCATGTGTTTGTTAGCCATCTGTATGTCTTCCTTGGAGAAATGTCTGTTCAGTTCTTTGGCCCATTTTTTGATTGGGTCATTTATTTTTCTGGAGTTGAGCTGGAGGAGTTGTTTGTATATTTTTGAGATTAATCCTTTGTCTGTTGCTTCGTTTGCTATTATTTTCTCCCAATCTGAGGGCTGTCTTTTCACCTTGCTTGTAGTTTCCTTTGTTGTGCAAAAGCTTTTAAGTTTCATTAGGTCCCATTTGTTTATTTTTGCTTTTGTTTCTAAAATTCTGGGATGTGGGTCATAGAGGATCCTGCTGTGATTTATGTCGGAGAGTGTTTTGCCTATGTTCTCCTCTAGGAGTTTTATAGTTTCTGGTCTTACATTTAGATCTTTAATCCATTTTGAGTTTATTTTTGTGTATGGTGTTAGAAAGTGTTCTAGTTTCATTCTTTTACAGGTGGTTGACCAGTTTTCCCAGCACCACTTGTTAAAGAGGTTGTCTTTTTTCCATTGTATATCCTTGCCTCCTTTGTCAAAGATAAGGTGACCATAGGTTCGTGGATTTATCTCTGGGCTTTCTATTCTGTTCCATTGATCTATATTTCTGTCTTTGTGCCAGTACCATACTGTCTTGATGACTGTGGCTTTGTAGTATAGTCTGAAGTCAGGCAGATTGATTCCTCCAGTTCCATTCTTCTTTCTCAGGATTACTTTGGCTATTTGAGGTTTTTTGTATTTCCATACAAATTGTGAAATTATTCGTTCTAGTTCTGTGAAAAATACCGTTGGTAGTTTGATAGGGATTGCATTGAATCTGTAGATTGCTTTGGGTAGTATAGCCATTTTGACAATATTGATTCTTCCAATCCATGAACACGGTATATTTCTCCATCTGTTTGTGTCCTCTTTGATTTCTTTCATC